AGTGTTGAAGAGCCAAGAAGTCTTTTTTACACTAGGCAGCCTTAGTGTTCAAAGTCAATTTTGTGTTTGTTTGTTTAATTAAATGTGAAACTACTTCTAAGTCTAAAGGAAAAGCAGTTAGCGTTCTTCAGGTGAGGTGCAAATCAAACACTTATGATATGTGTCTTGCAGCATTACTATTCTGATGGTGAGGTTGTTGACACCTGACACAGACCACACTTTTAAATCTCTGACTGCAGCACGACATCTTTAAATCCCTTTTCCCACATTGATTGACATCTCTCATGTGCTCCTCTGGCAAAGTTGCACAGCCCCACATTTCTCTCTGGAATGGTAAACACGAGGTAAAACATATTACTAGGAGAAGCCAGCAAACGGCAGCGTGTCAGTAGGTGAATATCTCATCAGTCCACATTCTTTATCAACTAGTTCTCCGCGCCGCACTTTCTCGTGCAGCTCATGCATATGTAAAGACCAGAATATGTTCCAGCAGCGATAAGGATGTTGCTCGTACCTGCAATGCCTGACAAAAACACGAGCACAATGGCAACATGACATGCAGCTGTTTAGCGTGACAGTGGTGTAATTGTAAGGAGGGAGAAGACGTCTTGCTCTTCACTCAGCTTGAGACAGGACTAACTTCTCGCTTCAAAGATACTCTGCGGAGAAAGATGACAGGAGCAAAGAATGACTGGATCTCTTTAGTGCCTACAATTACATGGCATGATGCCTTATGTGTGCAGTCAACAGAATAAGGCCTAATGAAGCAGATATCTTAAACACATAGCTACAAGATACCATTAGTTAAGTGGCAATGCACCATGCGGTGTTCAGCATAACACTGAGGTAAAAAAAAAAAAAAGAGGCATATTTATATAGAAGTTGAAGAACACAAAATGTATATTTGTTCAGCTGGCAGGCTTTTTATCCAAAGCAACTTCAAAAACCACTCTAAACTGGTAATAGTTTGTATTGTCAAAAATCGTGACTTCAGACATATGACTTTTATTTTTTATTTATTTTTCTCAAAATTTCCTATAGCTTCTCATGAGACCAGGTTGGAACCTATAACCTTGCTGTTCCTAGCGTTATACCAGCATTTAAATTTCTAGAAGTGTTTTGTGATATACTTGTGGGTGGGTGAATCATTTGCTGAGTTATGACAGTCCTTAAAGTGCCCCTATTATGGATTTTTGAAAATTACCTTTCATGCAGTGTGTAACACAGCTAAGTGAATGAAAACATCCTGCAAAGTTTTAAATCTGAAAGTGCACCGTGTATAAAGTTATTGTCTCTCAAAATAAAGAGTGGACTCGAGTCATTTAAACTAGTCGTTTTTAAAACGAATCCCAAAAACAAATAAGAAAATGAAAGTGTTTTTTGACCTTGCATGCATGTCAACCGGTTGTTGGGGACTCCCAAAACCAAAATATGAACCTTCCATAAGCCATAATAGGGTCACTTTAAGTTTAGATGTATGATACAAATTATAACTTCAAAGCTTGAAAACACTGTTTAAAGGGGTCATATGATGTTGCTAAAAAGAACATTATTTTGTGTATTTGGTGTAATGAAATGTGTTTATGCGGTTTAAGGTTAAAAAAACACATTATTTTCCATATACTGTACATTATTGTTTCTCTTCTATGCCCCGCCCTTCTGAAACGCGTCGATTTTTACAAAACTCATCGGTCTGAAAAACGAGGTGTGCT